TGTAAGAAGTAGAAAGTACAGGTATTTGTGTTCAACATGTAAGAAGTAGAAAGTACAGGTATTTGTGTTCAACATTTAAGTGAGTTCAACATGTAAGAAGTAGAAAGTACAGGTATTTGTGTTCAACATNCTTAAATGTTGAACACAAATACCTGTACTTTCTACTTCTTACATGTTGAACACAAATACCTGTACTTTCTACTTCTTACATGTTGAACTCAAATACCTGTACTTTCTACTTCTCACATTTTCCAAACAGGCTGGTTCCTTTAGTCTGAATGTGTGTTTGGTGGCGTGATCATTATTATTTAGAGTCATTGCGTGCCTATTGATTTGAACACGATCCGTGTATCCATCATTTCCTGGTCTTCTCTAAAGAAGAGGGACCAATGAAAACGTTGTCATGTTGCCGTTGTTCAGCATGGAAACATTCATTAGCTAACAATGACATTATTGTTCTATTAATATAAAGGGAGGTCAGGTACTCTTTAAAACAGCTGCTAGTTATGGGTACTTTTTACTGAAGTACATTTCAAAGCCTCTTTACTTTCACTTGAGTAAAGAAGTTTAGTCAGTACTTCTACTTTCACCAGAGTATTTTTAAACACAAGTATCTATACTTCTACTTGAGGAAAGGAAGTGTGTACTTTTATAAATGAAAGATTGTTCTGTACCTTGACGGCCACGTGGATTTTCTCCTGATCTGGGGTCAGGTTGTAACACTCGGCGAGGAACACCTTCCCGAACGCCCCCTCTCCGAGCTCCCGCTTCAGAACGATGTTGTGTCTCTTGATGTGCTGCACAACTTTAATGCACAATAACACACAAACAATCCTGAGGTCATCATGATTATCCAGCGGGAGTTTCAGTGAATGTAAAATTGTATTGTCTTCCCAATCCTGAGCAGATATTGTAACACACTAAAAGTATGTTTGACATTTCTTATATGGCATTATGATAAGATTTAATTATTTACAAAATGCTTTATAATGTGTTTTGATTTATTGTTACAAAGCATAATGCATACTCTAACTATAATATAGTGCTATAAGCAGTTTCTAACACATACGTCTATTTGTAATGCATTATAGGCACTGCAGTTGCTCCTTCAGGCTCATTCTGCTGAGTGTATCTTCTGTTAAAGGGTCTCGTGTTTCTGAGCATCATCTAATATGCTTCAGTTTCACCGTGCAGGCGGATGCTGAAGGTGAAAACATGGCGTCCGGTGGCAGTGACCCCTGAACGGATTTGATCTGAAAAGGTGCCGGGTTACAGTAACTCACAGGTGTCAGATTTCAGCATGCTGCCCGAGTTGCGGAAGTATTGCGGATTCTCGATGACGGGAATCTTTGTCATGCCGATGATCACGGCGTCCGGACCCATCTCCGAGGACGAAGGGGTGTTGTTGCCGTTGGATACGTGATGAAGAGGGCTGGCGGAGTCATCGTCGTTACTGATGACCGAGGAGGAGCCTGGGGAGGAAGAGGAGGAGAAGGAAAAAAACTGGTTAATTGATATAAGAAAGATATCAGAAAATCAAAAGCAGATGTTGTTATCACAATCACAATCAGAATAGAGACACTATATACTGATATACACCTGAACATCAGCAGGAGAGGACTCTTTAATGTAGAGACACTACATACTGATATACACCTGAACATCAGCAGGAGAGAACTCTTTAAAGTAGAGACACTACATACTGATATACACCTGAACATCAGCAGGAGAGGACTCTTTAAAGTAGAGACACTACATACTGATATACACCTGAACATCAGCAGGAGAGGACTCTTTAAAGTAGAGACGCTACATACTGATATGAACCTGAACATCAGCAGGAGAGGACTCTTTAAAGTAGAGACACTACATACTGATACACACCTGAACATCAGCAGGAGAGGACTCTTTAAAGTAGAGACACTACTGATATACACCTGAACATCAGCAGGAGAGGACTCTTTAAAGTAGAGACACTATACGTGTATATCAGTAGTGTCTCTACTTTAAAGAGTCCTCTCCTGCTGATGTTCAGGTNCCCGCTGCTGAGTACACTGATCCTGGAGCGGCCCCCGTGCTGGTTTTGCCATCCACAGAGCCCCGCCTCTCGCTCCAATCTGACCTCACAGGCCCCCGACTGTGAGCCTCTACCAAAGGAGAGCCAGCTACGGCGCACCATGTAAGAAAAGCCACTTCTTTCGAATAGTTATACCTATTGCAAAAGTTAGAATAACATCTTTTAGAAATCCCAGGGGAAGAAATTCAGCAAAGTATTCTGACTGTAGATTACAAAAATGCTATATGTAATTAGAGAACATTTAAATAAGTCAAATTAAAAAGTAAAAAAGTAAATAGTTAAAAAGTCAAAACAAATTAAACTTATAAAAATGTAAGGCATGCCAAGAATGTAACAGGTAAACACTTATAAAATAAAGATATATCAAAACATCTGTGGTCCACTCAGGTATTCTTAACATACTTCAGTTTTTTAAAGTTGACTTGCATATGAATAAGCTGAAAGTGAAACACACCTCTTGCCTGTTCCCTCTCCGCGCAGCTCATTGGCCCTCTGCACCACACCTGTGAGCTGGCGCAGACGCGGCACCCTTGATCAGATGAGGGGGGGGGTCTCTGGAGGGGGTGCTGCCTGGGCTCGGCCGCTCCTCCCCGAGACCGCGCCCGCCCCGTCATGGCACAACATCCGTTCAGGGAGGTGACGGCCATACGCATTCCTGTCGAGAAGAGCGGACCGGTGCAGGGAGCTTGGCCAAAGAGTGGCTGCAGGCTGGGCTACTGTGCTGGACGTGCCTGCCTCTTCAGGGTCTACCTGGTGGCCGTGGTGGCCTACAGCATCACTTCTGGGAACCCTGTGGTCCGCTGTGGCAGGTGGCCCTGAGGAGTACACACATCCTTTACTCAAGAAGAAGTACAGATACTCGTGCTTTAAAAATGCTCTGGTAAAAGTAGAAGTACTGAACTAAACTTCTTTACTCAAATAAAAGTAAAGAAGTAGGCTTTGAAATGTACTTCAGTAAAAAGTACCCATAACTAGCAGCTGTTTTAAAGAGTACCTGACCTCCCTTTATATTAATAGAACAATAATGTCATTGTTAGCTAATGAATGTTTCCATGCTGAACAACGGCAACATGACATCGTTTTCATTGGTCCCTCTTCTTTAGAGAAGACCAGGAAATGATGGATACACGGATCGTGTTCAAATCAATAGGCACGCAATGACTCTAAATAATAATGATCACGCCACCAAACACACATTCAGACTAAAGGAACCAGCCTGTTTGGAAAATGTGAGAAGTAGAAAGTACAGGTATTTGAGTTCAACATGTAAGAAGTAGAAAGTACAGGTATTTGTGTTCAAAATGTAAGAAGTAGAAAGTACAGGTATTTGTGTTCAACATGTAAGAAGTAGAAAGTACAGGTATTTGT